GCTCATGATCTCACCAGTTGCTAATACCTCAAACAGTAGGCTTTTATACATCTTGTTTACATAGATTTTTTTTCCTATCACTGCTGTTCTTTAGATTTTATATAAAATTATTAACTTCCTCCCTGTACATTGTTGTACAGGACCACCATAACACTGAAAAGATAAGGCTCACTTCAACAGAAGCAAGTATCTTTACACTAATTACCACCAGTGATAATTATGCATAATAATAAAAAGATAATAAGGAAGATTGTGCTTTCAATGACACTAATATAAATGCATAATAATTCTGGCACAATCACAACGTGATTCTTCCAGATTTACGTAACTGAGTTTATCCAGTAAAGCAGATTTCTTGTCACTGCCTGCATCCAGAACTGCTGTCCTCAGCAGCATACCTGCCTTCAAGCTTGGGGACACCATCTTTCACCTGTAAACTGAGACACAACTTCAGTGATTTTTAATATATATATTTTTTTTCTTTTAATGTGGCCCACTGTGTCTAAAAAATGATTCTATTTTGAAATAAACATTGCATGCTTTCCACCTCCTCAGACGACAAGAATCACTAGAGGATCAGGGATCTTATCTGCCGGTCAGAAATCCAACTCCAGAGGTACAAGCCAAAATCATTGCTCTTTTGCTCCTAAAGTATGAAACACTAAGAAAGTCTATTACTGGGGCCAGTCACTGTTAAAATATATCTGGTGAAATTCTGCTTGCCATCATTTATATTATCAATTAAAAAATAGACATTTCCACATGGATTTTTTTTCTTTTCTGTTTCTTTGATAGTTAAAATTCCACTGAAATATAAATATGAAGCCACTCCAACCCTTGAAATACTTTAAAAAGGAATTCCCTGAGTTGCCACAGACTAAGGATGAAGAATCAGTGCAGATTTTCATTTTTATAGTCTTTTACATAGTTCTTCCCAAGATACCACTAAGGAAAGAGCTGGAATTATGCGTTGCCATGGAAAATTGAAGAGCAGTGATGTTATTTCTGATGGGGTTCAGTTAAATCTACTTATTTCAGCAACCATTGTTCAGCAGCAGGTACAACTGTCCCATACAAATAAATAAGTAGTAATGAGTTTCAGTGGCACTTTGCCTATGCAAGAGAAGATGGACCCAACCATTTACAATCACTGCTTCCATCTGCAGTAGAAATTTGCTCTCTGACACATGATACCAGCTGCTGGACACGGGCTACTATAATGAAAGTTAATTTGCAAGATGGTATGGGCTCCATTAATTTTTCAACATGCTAACAGTTGACTCAACCTTGGGCCAGTGTTGTTTCATCAGCAAACTGGAAAAGGAAGTAGGTCATGAGTCATATAAAATGCTGTAGATGACAGAGAATTATTTAGATTAGTCAAAGTCACAGTAGTGATCACAGGAGTGTGGAGTAACATAAGAGCTTGAAGCAAAGCAGCACAGTGACAGATGAAATTCTCTGTAGCCAAAAAAAAAAAAAAAAAAAAAAGCAAAAAATTGGGTACTCTAGTTGATTAAAAGTAAATACATAATGAGGGAGGCCAAAGGAGACTGAAGAGCAACCAGTGGCTAGAAACAACACTAATATTGAATTTTTCTTTCAACACATCAGGAGTGAAAAGCCTGCCTGTAAGACCAGTTGATACAAAAAGCACTTGCAGAGAAAAAGGTCACAGCAGAGTACCCCTGTGAATTCTTTGCACTGGTGCTTACTACAGAAGAAACCAGAATGATAAACATCCCAGACCCTCTTTGAGGAAAAGATACAGCACAGAGCCTGCCTGAGATGGATCTAAAGGTTAAAGACTAAAAAGACAGAATAAATACAGACAGAAGAGCAGGGCTGGATATATTTGCCCAATAGTCTTACAAAAAATAAAAAATGTAATATCTGAATCATTAACAGCAACATACAAGGTTTCCTTTAAGAATTCCCTGGTATGTGAAGACTGGTGGACAAAAGAGATTAAGTAATTTACCTTGAAGAATGATAAAAATTATACAAAATGGAATAGCTTCACTCACAGACTGAAGGAAACTTCCATGGTCCTCCCCTCTTCTTCCCTAACCCCCTGCCATTTCTCCAGAATACTCTACAGCCTGCTCACTAGGAAATGCTGCAAGGATTATGGATGGTTTAAGTTAAATTTCTGTATGATATTGGGTAGATAAAGGCTTGAAATCCAAGCCTCTAGTACTTAACTGAGTACCCTAGGAGTAAGTCCTTAGACTTCGAATTACGTTATTATGCAAGAAAGAAAGGGCATGTGGAGCAGCCACCCTACGAATGGAGCTGCAGTGGCCACTCCTGCATCCTGGATGGGGTCTGGTCCATCACAAAAGCTCTTGCTGAACTCCTGAGGGGACATGAGCAGAAGATTATCCAACTCTTGGATCCCTTCCAGGACACTGAGTATTGCATTACCCAATTCTGGGACCAAATTTTTGTTCCAATTCTGGGATCAAAAAAGTAAACTGAGAGGCAGCTGCTCAGATTTTGGGCTCACTTTAAATCCCAGGCCCACTTTTGAGTCCCACCCTAAGATACTCCTATAAATGTCAGACCTAGAGAGCTAAGGAGCAATAGCCCTTTTCTTAAACATATTGCCAGAAATCATCCCTCACAGTGACACTTAAAATGGCCATCATCTAGAGTTAAAAACAGTGCTTAAACTGAACTCTGACTTCCCAAATTGACACAATTTTTAAGCCATGGGCAGAAATCTGCAACAAATGCAGTGGGCTGTGATAGTGCTAGGTATGAAACAAATATGCATAGGGACACTGTGGGCTGCTGCTCTAAGCAACACGACGAAATTTCATGGCCTGAGGGAAGGGACACGGGCAGATTCAATGGGAGGCGTGCCTGGTTTCTCCTCCAGGAGCTTAGACTGGCCCTGTTTCTGTTTGAAAATTGGGTACCAGAGAAGAGGTTTGGTATGGGACAATCGTTCAAAATTTTGTCACTAGTTACCTGCAATTTTCTGTCACAGAGTGTGACAGAGTGTGCTCGTTTGTCTGCAATAAGCAATAGATTAATTGAAATAAGAAGGGTTTTTTATATCAAGAACCAGAAATGGAGTGGTAGAAAGACTATGGCAAGCACATTCAACAGAACAAATCCAGTGAGAGAAAAAGGACTTTAAAAACAAACTAACCTTGACTAGTTTTCCCATCATGTTCCCTCTCCAAAATGGGGATAAAGCACACAGCTGAAATTTTCTATCTGAAAGCCAATGTCACCTCAAGCAAACAGCCCACTACCCACACAAAAGCTCTTCAGACACTGACACATCAAACAGGAGACCCAGCAGCAGACAATCAGATTAACAAAGCACCCCTTTGAGAGCAGCTCTTTAGGGAGAGCCAGCTGAGCCACAAAAACTGCTGGGGGTGAATGACATCAGTTCAATTTACTGGCTTCCTTCAAATAAAAACCTTAGCATAAGGAAATTATTTGAGAGACAAATAAACTCTGCTGGAGTAATAATTAGGGAATAATCACACATATTTGTGTATACAGCTAATTCAGGATAATTTAAAGAAGCATATGATAGAACAAACTCTCCTATTTTTCTCAAAAATATTTTATTAACATCACTTATAAATTCATATTTAGAAAATATTGCAGGTGAAATTAACCGAAATTCAGACATGGCTCAAATACAAAACATAAAAGAGAGTGCAATGATATCAACATACATATAATCTATCAAAAGAAATACAATAATACCTCAAAAGAGGGATGACATGAGATTTGCAGAAGCTTCTGCTCTTCTACTTTAACAGCCACTGCACAAACACCAATATCAAGATCCTCAGCAACTGTTGTCAGTGTAGCTCCATTAAAATAAATAAAAATATGCTGATTTATGATATACAAAGACCTGGAGTGTAACTTAGCAGAAATTTCAAATGTCGTGAAAAAGTAATGGCTACATTTTCATTTTAATGCTCAAGTAGCTTATTCATTGCCTTTGTGTTAATCCAAGAATCCCTATCCAAAATTTTATTTCATGGGACCAGACAGATTTAAGTTTATACTTTAGTGTTATGAAGGCTTCTAAAAGCCTTGACTATGAACATAAGTCTACTGAAATGATAGTGCCACGGTATGTAAAATGTCAGGGAGATAAACCTCTGAACACATTTTTGAAAGATTCCTTTTATTTAGCAAGCAGAAGATGCCAAAAAAATCCATGGTAGTGATTTAGCTTTGTACTCTCCTTAGTTATACTAAGAGACAACTGATTTTTAAAATCTTAATTGATATGTAACAGCTGAAAAGGCAGTACTGCCCAAGGCAGTACTAACATTCCCCCATAAAAACCTGGAAACCTAAATATCCGGCCTTGCCACAGTACTACTGCAAAGACAACAGATAAGAAGGACCAAACTTAGGTTCACTCTTCTTCCATTAAATGCAGTTCTTTATAAAAAGTAAGTGGGAAATAAAAAGCAGTTCTGAAAGACAGAACTATGTCGGTGTATAAAACTGTGTGGAAACTATCTTACAAAAGAAGAAAGTGGAATCAAAAGAAGGTGTTTCAAACATCCAAGTGCACATCTGCTTTAAGACTTTGGGTTATATGTCTGAGGCTTTTTAATCAATTTGATGATCCTTTTTCTGCGGAATGTGCTTGTTGGCTTGTTGGTATTTGGTTTCTGAGACCCTGCTAAGAAAACAAAGAGAGCAGTTAGGGAAACAGTATGACAAAACGGTTACTACTCTTTATAGTTTGGGGTTTTTTTTCATATTATGCTGTTCAAGCAGTTGATAATAAAAAACAACAGCAAACATAACAGAAGCTCTAAAATATGTTCTGGACTCCCTATTCTGACACACTGCAAGGTCTCATATAAGGTCTCACTTTTGTCTCTAGAGTCCTACTTTGCTGTTCTTTCTGAGCAAGTAACAAAGTCTTTTCTAGCTGTCCTGCAGTGATAACAGAATGGAATTAAACACACATTTCTCTGAACAACACTGGGGCAAAGTCTAAAATACAAACACTGCTTGTGGGAGATGAAGAGTTAAAGTTATTTAGGTTTCTGCACAGAACTGAGTTTCACACAGAAGCTCCAGAGTGGCCAAAGACAGTCTGAGGTTATCTTCAGGACTGACTACAAAGGCTGCATGAAAGGTATGAATGCCATTCAGAAAACAAGTACTTTGCAAACCTGTCTGAAAATCTTTTGTCTTTGTGCTACCTGTTTACCTGCACATAGAGCCCTGTGACCAGTCTCCAATCCTTTTGCTGTCACTCCAATGTATTTATTTTCTTTTCCAATATAAACTTTTTCAACTAATTCATCAGAAACCTTTTCACTCCAAAAGCTACAAATCAATTCAAACAGCAGTTACATATTTGCACTGTGAAGTTAAAACTGAATTTACCCAGGGATGCTGGGGAGGGAATTATGGGAGCAGGAGAGGAGCGGCTTAAGCTGCCTTCAAGATTCCCTTAACTTGTTGAACACTCCCAGTCTATAGAAATGAATACGAATAGCACAACATCAATTAGTACTAATTACGCCCTTAACTATCGGCTCTGGATGTACCAAGACTTAATGAACTATGAAATGTACCAGTTAGTGAAAAAGCTTATAATTTATCCTTTACTTTTGGCTATCTGGTGCTGTAGTCATGAGACAGATGGTATTTCCTTGCTCTTTCTTCCCCAGAAAGAGTGAGGAAGGGAGAACCTGCAGGTGGCTCTGGCTAGGTGTGGGCAGGGCCAGAGCACAGAGGCAAGATACCTTCCTGCAACTCCCTTGCACACTTAGGCTGTAGCCTGGCCATACCATTTCCCAGGCAGTAATAGACACAAATGAGATAATCAAAAGCACGACTCAGTGTGCTATTAAAGACTCCATCACAATACTAGAATGGCAGAGACACACTCAGACTTGTCATCCACAGAAAAATTACCGCCATGACTAACTGCTAGAGAATATTTTTACTTCTGAGGACTATGCTTAGGGTGCAATCTTTGCCCCAGCCCTAGATTTCCAGTCTAGAACTGAAGAATTATCTCCTAATTTAAGCTTTCTGACTACACATCTTACTTACTGAAGTACTAGGACCTTGTGCATATCTCATGTTTAAAAAAGACCTACTTTGGGGTTTCTTTTCCCCCTAAAAGTCAATATACATGCTAGAAACAGCTTTAATTTTGCTTAGAAATGTATCAGTTTTATGTACTGTGCTCTGTCTGCTTCTTCAGTACTCTGAGGATCAACATATAATTATGCCTTTTTTCTCTCTCATTTATATACATACCAAGTTAATTAGAGTATTAAAACTTGCAATAACTGGTATGAAGACAGGACTGCAGCTAAATGCACAACTATTTTGACTTACAAAGCCAGCCAGTAGCTGATTTGAAGAAAAAAAACACATTTTGAAAAATCAATTATCATTCCTAACCCTTCCCCCTATGGCCACAGAAGCAACTGACTCAGCTCAACTGATGAGCCAGAAATCTTTATTAAGGGGAATGGGAAATGGGAGGATGGTAACTGCTGGAAATGCAAAGACAAGAAGTAAATTGATTTCACAACTTTCTTTAATCCTACTTTAAAGTACCTGGAAGAAAATGAAATTCTTAATTACTGTTCATGCTGGTACTGAACAGTTTAAAGACTGATTCCTTGTGGACTCTAGTAAGTTAATTAGTCTTTTCATGAGTCCTTCTTTAAGTTTCATCAAAAAATGGTGTAACCACCTCACATTTCACCGTTCTTGTCAGAAGAACTTAGTGTCACATCTCAGTTTTCCCTGCCTCTGAAAACCCTGAGTCCAAAAACCGAAAAGCCTACAATTGTAACAAGCCAAGGTGAGTACTGGATTACTTATCTGCTTGTGACTGGCCAATACAAAAAAAAACAAACAACACCTTACCTTTTCTGCAGACATTGTAGCAGTCTGTTTCAGTAACAAAGTTGTTGGCGTTTCCACCACAGCCAGTATATTTGAACTCCTTACAAGATTTAGTCTTGATGTCATAGTAATAGCGAGGCACAGAAGAAGAACACAATCCTTCATCCTTTGGGCTGTAGCATAGCAAGGGACCAGCTTGAAAGAGAGAAGGGGAGAGAACAAAAAGAGAGAGAAAGACAAATTACACAAAGGCAATCTCTATGTCTGCCTTCTTAAAATTTACCCTGCAATAAATCTTGTGGCTAAACAGCTCTTGTTACCAATGACTGAGTCAGAGGTAGCATATCATAATTCCTGTGAGTTATGAATTTGAAAAAGCAACAGACAGTCCCAAAAAATAGAACTAGTATTCCACAAGTGAAATGCATTGTCATTCCCCATTTTTGGTGCCAATTTTTGGTGCCATACATACAACAGGCAAGATACTTCTAGTCTGGCTAGAAGTCTTATTCCATATATATAAAACACTAATTCCACTGGAACTACCTCTGTAGATTAAAAAGGCATTATTTTGTTTATCCTTGCTATGATTTTGCCCAAAAATCCTGCCTGCTTGAAGCAAAAATTACAAAACCCAGCACTTAAAGAATCAGCATTCAAAGGAATCATATTCATTTTGCCTCAACAAATTGTTACTTTTCTGGTTGGAGACCTTTTATCAGTTTGTTGCATATGCAATATAGACATTACAAATAGTTCAGCTGTCACCTAAGAAAACACTGATAATCTGTCATCAGCCACAATAACTGTCTCATCAAGCATTAATAAAGCTTAAGCAGTGAGAGTTTTTATACACTCTAGTAGATGTCTCTTCCACAAGGATCCAGCATTGCACTGGATATTAATCTACCGTTTATGACAATACTTAGCTATAGTCACCTGCTCATAATTACCCCCTCTCTGCCTCAAAGCTCATATGAGAGACAGAGAAGAGTCACATCAGGAAAAAACTTTTCTCAGAAGTTGAACTGCTAAGTGCCAAAACACCCAGCCACCTAACACCATCTCTCAACCCTGAATTTTAGAAAGACACTTCCACTTTATAATAGGATATCACTGCCCTGAACATGACCACCACAACATCTCATGCATCTGCCTCAACACAGATCTCCAACCTTGTTTCTCTTCAGGTTACACATGTACATCTCCCTAGAGGTCAAGAGATCAGTTGGGTGTAGCTGTGGGCATAAATTTAAGACCACAACATAAAACTAACATGGCATTTTTGCTCTTTCAGTAACAGCTGAGACAACTGACACATTAAATTCTGCAGACAATATAAATATCCGCTTCACAGAAATCTTAAAAAATACAAGTATATGGGTACTCAGAGGAAACAAAGTATCATCTTCATATCGCTTTCAAACTATCTATTTTATTAAAAATTTGGAACAAGCATTACTTTTCTCTGGCAGACAGTGGTCCACACAAGACTGCAAATCTCTGTAGTTGTTGCCATTTCCGTAACAGCCTCCATAGATGAACTCTTCACATCTCATCGAGGTCAAGTTAAAGGCATATCTTTTTAGATGACTCCTGCAAGGTCCTCCATCAGCCTCCATCCGGCACAATTTGGGCACTTCTGTAAAAAAACAGAATTCATCGTCTGTAAAATCAACCCTTCATGCTCCTGGTGTTGAACAACATGGTAGTGTAGACAAAACTGCATTGATTCAGTTCCAGGCAAGTCACAGGCTGTTCCACTACCTGCATTCTTAAATAAAGCGGGATAAGATGCACAGGAGGAATCTGGTGCATTAATTAGGAATTACTTATAACATTAAGTTACATATTAATAGTTCAATTCTGCGTGTTGCCTCTGCCACAACTCGTTCTAATTTCTCTGCATAAAATTGACACCAGTGAGGCAGTTGTCACAAGCAGGGGGGACAGTCAGACGGGGTGGGTACAAAGCACCCTGCAAGTAGCGCGGCCTCCCCAGAGCTCCCACAGCCCCTCCCCAGAGCTCCCACAGCCCCTCTCCAGCCTCTGCCGTCCTGGGGGGCTCCGGGGAACCAGGCCCCCTCCTCGGGTCGGTCCCCGGGGCTCAAGAGAGCAGCCGAAGCCAGTGACCGAACTCACTCTTGATGGTCCAGCAGCTCTTTTCGCAGTCGTCGAAGGTGAGGAAGTTGTTGGCATTACCATGGCAGCCCCCGAAGGTGAACTCCTGGCAGCTCTGCGTGTACCTGTCGTAGTACCAGCGCGGCACCAGGGCGCGGCAGGGGCCCTCGTCGGGGGGCAGCAGGCAGGCGCGCTGCTTCTCTGCGGGAGACACCAGCGA